ATGTTTTTGGAGATATCCTCCAAGAAAAACTATTGTAAAATACTTTTGGCATAATTACATATTTTTTCTTTTATATTGAAGCGTATCAACTAATGTAAGCACGAGATGAATAGCCATATATCAAATACCCAAATCCTACTAATTGGATTTGGAGTTTGACTTACATAAAATTTTTTTTAATGAAAATCTTACAATAACGCCAAGGTATTTTTTAGGATAAATACTAAATTTAATCTCAACTTTTAATATAAATACTAAATGTTGTCTCAATTTTTCTTTTAGACAAAAAAATGGTCCTTTAACTTTTTGAAAACTCTAAATTTAATCCTACCATTAGTCACTTTTACTATGTCTCTAATACAAATCCTAACTAGAATTTTGTAAAATTTAGGAGGACTTTAAAAATAGCTAAAAGCACACCAAACCCCAAATTTCTTGGATTTTTTAAATTCAACTACAACTCTAAATCTCTATTTTACGTTTCTTTTTTAATTAACAAAACCCTTATTTCAGGAATTATTTCTAGAAACTTTAAAGGTATGCAAGTTAAGGCTTAGCATTTTATGAGACACAATTAGAATTTCTATTAGAAAATTAACGAAGTAACTAACGGTAGTATTAAGGTTGATGATTTTAAAAAGGCAGTGAAACATTTTTAATCTAATGAAAGATTAGTAAAATATCAATACTCATGCTAAAGTATGAGAACTAAATCTAATATTTATTTATTTTTATATATAAAACACGTTAACTAACTAAAACTCTCTTGAGGAGAGGGATAAGAAAGGAAATGAAAGTTTAAATCCTAATAATATAGTTGAGAAAGTATCTTTTAAGTAATACTTTCACCAATTATTCCACATGTCTTTCCAATAGTTCGCATGGCTTTTTTTTATTATTTTATTATGATTGCATTATGAGAAACAATTATTTCACATCACTTATTCAACTCTACTCGCATGTTATGCGACTCGAAATCAAAATTTTTTATTTTCAGTAAAAAAAAAAATAATAACTAAAATATTTAGACCGTCAGTATACACATGAGATTAAACATAACATCAATATTCTCTCAAATGTACAATCAATCCAAGTTGGTCACACCAGCAATCAGTTTTGGTCAATGAGCACGTTAAATCAAAATAGAATAACAAAAATGTGCTCCTTGACTTCGTAATTTTGCTTCACGTCTCCTTGCATTCATGCTCCGAGCTTTTCCACTGTTGCAACATCCTCTGCACCCACATACAACGCTACAAACGTAAAATGTTAATTATGGTATCTTTTTTTGACGTAAATACGAAATTTCATTAATAGTTAAAAAAAAAAAAAAAGAGAGAAAATTTTCATTATTTTCCGGAGGAAAATGCTAGATTTGACGAGTACAGCCAGCACTTGGATCATGGTTGGCTCAAGTTGCATTTTTCATTAACAAAATTCAATAAAAAAAAACAGAAAGGGCGGAACTTAGCTCTACTCCTTTCCAAATTATTAAGAG